TCACGTGTTTTTTAATATTTCCTTTTAAATTAAGAAATTTAGTGATATATAGTACTAAAATTTGAATTATAATCTACAGTTTGACATTAAAGTTATTGACATAAATTGATGAAATAGTAGTTCAATAAAATTTTGAATGAGAGTCAACAAATGCGATGACATGGCCTTTCACCCTTGACTCATCTTGAATGGGTTAAGATAAATATTTATATTTTATTTTCCATTTTCTCTACTGTATCACTAACTATCTATTATCATCAACATACAGTGCAATGAAATGTTTAAGATGAACAAATGGAAATATGTATATATATATATATATATCTTTCACCTCTTCATACAAATCCACTAGAATAGTCATATTTTTCTTATATATGCGTGATTTCACATCTTTATCTTTTCACTTTAATTTTTCTTTCAAATTCTTTGTCTATTATCATTTATGCCCATACATCAACTGATAACCGCAGAGAAGCATTGCCAAAACAAGATGGTGCTTATAAATGCCATCTTGTTTACAACCTTTCACAATCCAGGCAACAAGTTAAAGTTATAAAAAATCATTAAACCTTTCATATACGATTTGTAAAACACACATAACACATAATTAACCAAAATATAAAAGTAAGACCAAATACTATTTAACTACCTCTCTAAGTATAGCATATTTAGATAAGAAACCACTGTAAGTGCTATAGTCGATCAAGCAGACAACAATATGAATAACAATTACAAGTACACTGTGAGGAAAGCTGCATGACAATTTCAAATTAATCATTGGTAGAGTATAGTGTAAACTGAGCTCTTTCTAACAACTATATACACTTCTGTCAACTAACTACATGTACGTTGTAGATCTCAAGGAAAAGTATAAACATAAAGCAGCATAATATGCAGAAAGGAATTGAAAAATGTAAAATATGACACTGGGAGCAATAGGGTTAAACGTAAACCAACATAATACACAGAATGTGTGTGTGTGTGTGTGTGTGTGTGTGTGTGTGTAGGCTACTTGTGGTGTATTTGCAGATTTATGAATAATTTTTTTAGATATACTAATTCTTTTACCACATATGATAAGATGAATTTTTTTGGCTCTTGCCATGTTTTATTTACACACATTTTTTTCTGCCAATACAAAATAATAACTACATTTGTTATTCTCAGATATTATCAGACCTTTTACAGATAAACATTTTTCATTTTAGGTTGGTTATTGTAATTATTTTACACTAAGTATTTTTCCACAAGTATGGGTTTGTGTGAATTTCTATCATTAAATTGGCAAAATAACATTAATCACAGGTATCTATGATCAGGGTTTTATTTTTCTCTGATGTGATGATCAGAGAACAACAGTTGTCAAAATGTTATAATAAAGTCTTAAAGGTCTTAGAAAACCTACTCATTTGTACTTAATACAGAGATGTGTGTGCACACATCTTTTATAATGTTAGTCTTATATTAATGCCTGGTAATACATAACTCCAACTTCAAATATTCTAATAATACATATTAAAGAATGTTGTAAAATACATTAGTTTTTCCTGTTACAATATATTGTGATCTAGCATAGTTCACTTTTGTAATCCTCAAAATCTATCATTTTTGACAATGAAGTATTAATATTATTCTATAAACATCTATATCAGATAGATTGCATGAAATCACAAACAAATTAAATACTGCATTTATAAAATTCATTTTACAGACTCAAATATCACATTTTTAAATACATGGTTAATTTGAGGCATTATGGAAAAATGGAAAAATATTTATTTTGCCATTTCACACTTTTCTGATGTCAGTGACTGTTATATAGGTCAAGGAATAAAACTGAATTGTATTTATGCCTTTATGAGTTACCCACTGCTTATTAAATTAAGTTAATTTTTTTCTCTTTCTACGAATAAATTATATGGTTATACAGAGAGTTGAGTACACTGTATTAAAAAACTTTTAAGTGTGCAAACAAGTAAATCATGTGACAAACACAGCAGATATAAAGTCTTAGTATAATGCCAGGTATCAAAACTATTTTGTCATAGAGTGACATTTCATAGATAGTGTGATGACAGTAAAAGCTGAACACTTTTGGGAATGATATGTACCAACAATTTGAACTCCAAAAACGTAGTTAATGACATCAAAAACAAAGGAATAAGGATCAACTTTGGGTACCAAAACCCCTCAGAAAGAGACTCGTGGAACAAAGTGTGACATCTTGTAACATGTGAGAATCTACAAACACAAAGCCCTCAACAGTATCCCAGACAACAGTACAATATAATAAAGAAGTATCTCCAGCTGGAAATAAGAACAATAAGTATGGGTTCACAAAGATAAAGCTTCCAGTCATACATCCTACTGTATTCAACCAACACATACTTAAACCAGTTGGAGAATAAAGTTGGTATTCATACTATTTCACATAAAGACATATCAATGATGTTGGTGGAAAAAAAGCTCCTATGAATTACTGTACCAGACTATTGAAACAGGCACCGGAAAATTATCATCTTCATACACTAGGTGAATTATGGAAAGTCGAAAAGAAGTAGTGTGCTTTGGGCACGAGAGCCTTATGGTGGATCCTTTTGCAATAAAATATGTTGCATCAGATAGAGCATGACCATATATGGTAATGTGGATTGTAACAATACAGAAGGGCTTCAAAATCGTTTTATTTTAATGTACTCAACCTCTGTATTTTATATTATGTCATTGGAATTTTTTTTTTATATATAAAACTCAAAATTTCTCAGGAATCAACTTAAAATGAAATTTGGCAACAAATCTAAATATTAAAAAACAAGTAACAATGAAAAAATTCTACAAAAATATAAGTAATATTTCTATTCAAACAATTAACCCTTAACAACAAACACTTCTCTTTCATATGAAAATCAAATGTAATAAAAGTTGAAACAGAGATAACAGACTTAACTTTCCATTTACTTTTACTTTTTCTTAATTGTATAATAACCATAGGGTATATCTACATTACTTAAAAAGCAAAGAGAGACAGAGAAATGCATAATTGGATAAATTATCACAGAAGTAAGTATCCCTGTAAACTAGTACAATAAACTAATAATGGCTGGAGACGGCTTGAATGGGTAATGAAGAAAACTTTAATATAACAGCAAATGTACACCTGATGATGAC